TGTTGTCTGTTGTCGTATACTTTCCCTTCTCGCGAATGCAGCTGCCTGGAGCAAACACGATACATGTCGTCATACGCCGACTATGTACATTACTTTAAGTTAAGACTTTACAATTAGTTATTAACCACGCGATAGCGACGACGAATCGAGCATCACGCATGCGCTTTTCCACCACCCACCTGTGTTTCTCTCGTACTTACACAGTTTATTTACACGGTCTTTTCACGGCGTGGTGACACAGACTTCAGCGAGTCAACATAATTTGGCGATAAAAATAATCTTGACGCCCGCTTCACCACATTTTTGCACACCACCCCAAAAAGCTTCGGTCACTTTTTCACTTCAAGTTTTTAACAACACCCATTGGGCGATCCATCGTTAGTAACTGAATAACGCGTCGATCAATAATCTTTATGATAATAATATCCTGCAATTTTCATAAGAGAGTCCTTTAGACTGCATAAATGACATTTAAATGAATGATGGTTTCCATTGATTTGCACATCAAAGCGGGTTGTTTTTCTTTGATACGGATACAGCAAGAGACACGCTCGAATGGCGACGCGCTGGCCATGAGGCCAACATCCTGCCGACCCCGAAAAAATGTTTTTCGGTTTGCTACGACCAAAACGATGAGCACAACGCGCACAACAAACAACAATTAATTAAAACGGACAAAACTCGTGGGAATTAAAAACGTCTCGGTCTCTTAACTGATACCATTTAAGATCGTCTTGCCCCCGTCGCCCGGCCGACGGCACCAGTTGTTACATAGGCAGAGAAACGCGCGCGTGGCAGCAGATAGCCGGCGTTCGGTAATGTCCTTTCCTCGAGCGTCCTGTTCCCAAGCATAAGCAGCAGGAGCAGCGGCATCCTATATACCGCTGCGAGAGTTTACGTTCGGCCGGGGCCATCATTAAGTATCATTTACTCGCAACGTTCGAGTATGCGTGCATGTTCATGGCATAATCACAGTGCACACGTTCCACAGCGTCGACACACGCGACGCTGTCTCGCGAGAGCTCGCCAATGCTCTTTTGTCGTCGTCAGCCACGTGGCGGGAACAGAATGGGACATAGTTGCTTATTTTCCTATTAACTTTATCGCACGCGCAGTGCAAAGAGTCCTTAACACGTCTCCTTAGAGACGCTGCATCAGTGGCGCCACCACTCCTCGTTGGGTAATCGTCGGTCTACAATTTGTGGTCGACGGGACTCGTGTCGGGTGGGATCGGCATGTGAGACAGCGGCGGCGTGTTGGTAGAGCCCGGGGAACTGCCGTTGGGACGTTCGCCCTGGCTGTTCTCAGAGTCGGAGCTCATGCCGCTGCCCTTCTTATCGCCGCCCTCGCTGTGCGTTTTCACGTGCTTGCTGAGATGGTCGGAGCGCATGAAGCGCTTGTTGCAGACGGGACAGGCGAAGCGCTTCTCGCCCGTGTGCGTGCGCAGGTGCCGCTGCAGCTCGTCGGAGCGCGTGAATCGCTTGCCGCAGAAGAGCCAGTTGCAGACGAACGGCCGCTCGCCCGTGTGCCAGCGCAAGTGCGCCTTCAGATGCGACGTCTTGCCGTACACCTTGCCGCAGCCGGGAATGTGGCAGCTGTGGATGTTCTTCCTGCGCAGCGCGGCGCCGGCCGGACCGAGGCGCTCCGCCTCCTGACAGTTGGGGCAGTCGCACGTCGCCCGGCCCGTGTAGCGGCGGTTCGAGCGCGGCTGCATGTTTATCGTGTTCATGCCCGGCCGACCGATGTACGTCGACGGGTCGGAGGCCGTCGGCAGCATCGACTTATACGTCTCCTGCAGCAGCTGCGGCCCCGAGGTGAGCGCCAGCGGGTTGGACGCGCCGAGCGCGTGCGTCATGTAGTCGGAGCTCGGGTAGTTGCTCATCTGCGAGTGCAGGCCGGCGCTGGCCTGGTCCAGCCACGCCGAGCCCGAGCTGGTGGCGGCGGCGTGCATGTCCCACGGCCAGGCCGACTGCGACGCGACGGTCGGCGTCGGCATCTCCGTCTTGATCGTCGGATGCGACGAGGCGGACACGTTGAACGGCCACGCCGTGTCGTAGGCCGGATGCGCGGTGACGCCGACGCGCGAGTACATGCTCGACATGTGGTTGTCCGTGTGCACCTTCTGTATGATCGCCGGCTGCGTGAGCGCCGAGTTCGTCTGGCAGTGCGACGTCACGGCCGGCGACGACGCGAAGAACATGTCGCTGCCGTACGTCGTCGAGCAGCCGCTCGACGCAATCGAGTTTCCTCGATAGTCGAGGCCGGCGTTCGACGTCGCTGGAAAGCCGGACGTCATCCGATGCGAGAGGTGCGTGAGAGGCGTGGTCGCGCCGCCGGATACGGACAGAGATGACGCCGACGACGACGACGACGTTTTCTTCCACGGGTGAAATCCCTTGCCGACGGCGGCGTCTGCGAGTGGCGGTGGACTCTTGTTTTGTATTTTGTTGCACTGGGCTGCCAACATCGCTAGCGGGGTCCCTCCAAGACGCGGAGGCTCCTGAAACGAGTAATGACGTCACCGTTAAAGAGGATTTTATAGGAATACATGAGCGTGCAATACATTTCCGTTGTCGTATTGATGAAATAATATTGCCGCGGCTATGACATACACAGCTGCAGTATGGCAGACCTACTTCATTTCTAAAACCAACGCACGTCAGTGGCTCGCATCAAATGTATTAACGGCTCGAAAAGTTTTATTCGCAGCTCAAAAAAATCGGCAGTGCTTTTATTCGTTTATAAAGAACTGTGGAGTGTTTCAGAAATCGATACGTATTTCGCACTTTTCTTTGTCAGTAAATCCAAAATCATTTGCATTCAATTATCAACAATAAAGACGTCATTTCGATAGCATCTGAGCGCGTTTGCATATAACAACGGGCAATAAAGAGGCAAGCTATGCGTCACAGAAGCTTGCTTCCGGTGAAATCAAAACCAATTTACGCGTCGGGCCTGTGACGAGCATCACTGGTGGCCAGTCGCTTGTAAAATTAACGCACTGATGGTAAAACGAAAACTAGCAGGTTGCAGGTTGCAGGTGGTCAAGGTCAGAGCTGACCGAAACAAACTGATCAATATTGAACCCACACATTAACGACAATAATTCCAACAGAAGTGAGCATTATGCTAAATTCTCTGTCTCGCGCTCTGTCGCTTTCTGTCGCCCTCTCTTTCTCTTGCTCTCTCACACACATATATATATATATATATAAATATATATATATGACATAGACGACGAGACACCTTACATATAGCGTTACTGGTTAGCATAAATATTAGTCAGTATAAATGTTACGTGAATGAAATATTAGACGATCTGCGGTCGTCCACTCTCTCTCTCACACACACACACACACACTCCACATCACTCTCACGAATAGGCATCACCCACAGAAAACAACGATGGCATTCTGCCAAGGAATTGCTATTTTGCTCATAAACATTCACGACAACATCTTGAGATATTATCACTGCATTTACTATAAAATGGTAGTATATTTGTTACATTTGTCTGTCCAGATGCGATGATAACTTTAGATATGCTTAGTTATATGATATCGTCGCATTTATCGAAATTTCACCAAGGCTTCGTCATCATCGCCGAACGTCCGAAGTGTCTGGTAAATTTATCTATTTTTAAATAGGATAAAACCTTTAAATATTATTTTGCTTGAAACAACAACTGTTTATCTGGCAGTGGCGCAAAATCACCTAACGACAAGTACAAATCACATTAAAGGTAAACACGTGTGGCACAACTCGGTAATGACTACCAAAATCAACTAAACCTACAAAAACCGCAAACATACGTCAAATGTTGAAGTGAAAAGATCTATTAATTATCGAAGGCGATCATGCAGGTGTACTACACATACAAAATCCGGATATATGAGAGGCTTTCTCGCTTCGTGCTTCTAGACGTAAAATCAAACAGCGTACGAAATTAAAAGCGAATTGGCGGAAAATGTCCCAGATTCGCTCGCGGCTTTTTCGACGACGTTTCTTAACGCTCGCAACTGGTGCGTACAGCGCGCTGGCGGTGAGCTGCCAACGGAAGACGGTTCAACACGACAGCGGCTTCCATGTCAAAGGACTCGTTCGGCGACCGACGGAGAAATTGCGCCACACAGACGACTAGCCAAAGTGAAAGGCGTTTGTCTTCAGAATTGCGCACCCAATCTCTTTTCCATATGCCTTGTTGACTCCCGATTATGCAGAAAAAACGCAATAAACCTAAAAGCCGCACTTTGTACGCCATTCCGACATAAGAGACAGGCAACTAGCCATAAAATGACTCGTAAACGACCGTTTGAAAATTCGTCTTGGAGTGATTTGCCTCCGCCGGTCCATTCTACTTGGCAAATTGAAGAATATTATCGAGTGAACTCAAATTGCTCCAAAATATCGCCGAAAATGAAGTGTAACTACTACACATCGGCTCTGAAGTGTATTGCATAGTATGTGTATATATATTGCACCTGACTATATGGAACCGTTGTCACTGCCGGGATTTTTTTCCGTATTTCCGTATACGTATAGGCGCTGAATCCCGAAGATATGCGCTCTAATATACGGTAGTTACATGCGATTCTATAGTCGGTCACGCCGCGAACACGTGATTCAGCGCACAATAGACCGCGAAATTAATTTCGGAGCTTCGTTCCATAACTATTTCGTGATCAATGACGTCACCCGCTTGTTTGCAAGTCAATTGCCGACAATTTCCCTCCAATTTCATGTTGATTTTCTACGCTCGCGTCCCGGCTGGCACGAGGCAATCATGAGCGCAGCAGTCTTTGACAACAACAATTTGACATCGGGCGTTATGAGGAAGTCGCGTAGTAAAATTGAGCCTATTACCGTCGCGAGATTATGTGATATAATAAGGATGGAGACTTTTATAACTTCATTTGATCACTGTAACGATGTTTGCCGTCGAATTGACGGCAATTTGGCGCGGAATTACCGTCTAAATTATGAGGCAGTTTAATAAAGAGCCAGTGCACTGGAGATGAAATTGCTGACCGAATCCGCTGGCCGATTGGCGCGATCTTGAGTGCACCGTTGATGAGGGTGTATGCGAAACCACGACGCGGTCAGTAGACTTACAGACGAGGGCTGCTATAGAACTATATTGTCACCGTGAGCATCGCGTCGATATGAAACGTTACTGGTACGATGGCGATCGCGCAAAATATGATTAATATATATATATTTATATTCATTAAATCTCCATATCTATTTTTCTATATTTATTTATCCCTTTCTTTTCTCTGTCTCTCCCATGCTCTCGCTCTCACTAACACACCCACCACCCACACACACACGCCACCACTCTCTCTCTCTTCTCTCTCTCTCTTCTCTCTCTCTCTCTCTCTTTCTCTTCTCTTTCTCTCTTCTCTCTCTCTCTCTCTCTCTCTCTCTTTCGCTCTCTCTGTCTCTCTCTTTCTCTATCTATCTATATCTATATCTATATCATATCTATCTATCTATCTATCTATCTATCTATCTATCTATCCATATCATACTATAATATACTTATATAATATATGTGTGTGTGTGTGTGTGTGGGTGTGATGCTGATGTGTGACTGTGTGTGTGTCGTGTGGGTGTGGTTGTGTGTGCTGGGTGTGCAGTGGCGTAGTTAGGGGGGGGGAAGAAGCCATGGCCCCCTGTTGATCCGAAAGTAAAAAAGAAGAATTGTTCTACTAAAAGAGAATTGTCGTAGTTAGAATGAAGGCTGTATAGCTTACTCAAATGCTGCCTCAAATACCATCTCCTACGATCTACATTTTCAAAATACCCCCCGCCTGTTTTCACCCCCTCCTTGGAATCCTGAGCCGTCACTGAACAGTATCGGGAGCAGAGAACAACGAACAAAATGTCGCCTTTTGCATGGCGCGCCAAAATCAACAAGGAATTGCAGAGCTAAGAGGTTGCGAGCCGTAGCGTGTTGGAGGAGGGAGGCGGAGGAACACATAAAATAAGAAGTCAACTTCACTATGTTTGCCCCGCAGTTCGCCTGGTTTTTGCCCCCCCCCCCTGTCTTAAAAATCCTGGCCTACGCCACTGTGACTGCTTGTGTCGGCTGTGTGTGTGTGTGTAGCTGTGGGTGCTGAGTGGCAGTGGTGTGTGCTGTGGTGGCGTGTGTGTGTGTGGCTGTGTGTGGTAGATGTCGTGTGCTGCTTGTGTGCTGTGACGTGTATGTGTGTGTAGTGTGTAGTGTGCCTGTGTGTGCTGGTGCTGTGTGTGTGCATGCTGTGTGGTGTGTGTGTGTGTGTGTGTGCTGCTGTGTGTTGCGTGGCGCTGCCGAATGAGAGCATCACACCTATCTCGCGGACGGCTCTATAGGGATTCTAACGCGCGCTCCACGAAAACGCAGCAGCCGGCGCGTTGTACTTAGAGCAGGACAATGAACGGGCAGCCCCGTGCGCGTCGCTTTTATGCGCTTCTAATGGCTGAAGCAACCACCACCACCACCACCACCCACCACCACAACCACCCACAACCACTATTACCACACCCCACCACCACCATCACCTATTACCACCACCACCACCACCACCACCTCACCACCACCACCACTACCCACACAACACCACACCAACCACACCACCACACATCACCACCCCACCACCACACCACCACCACCACCAAACACCAACACTACCCACCACCACCACCAACACACCACCACCACTACCACACCAACACGTCACCACCACCACCACCACCACCACCACAAAACCACCACACAAACCACCAAACCACCCAACACACCACCACGCCACACGCACACACCCACACCACCACACCACACCACCACCACCACCACACCTACCGGCCAAGCACCAGGCCACCACCACCAACACCAACACTACCACACCACACAACACCACCACCACCACCACAAACCACCACCACCACAAACACCAACACCAAAACCACCCACCACCGCACCACCACACCACCACCACACCAACAACACGCTCACCCCACTACCACCACCACACAAACACCGCACCACCACACCACCACCGCCCCAACCACCAACCCACCACCACAAACCAGCCACACCACCACCACCACCACCACCACACCGCCCCAACACCAACACCACACACCACCGCAAACAACAAGCACCAACACCAACACCCCATTCACACCCCTGCCGCCACACACCAACCCAACACCACCCACACCATCCCCACCGGCCACCACACCACCACCACCACACCACACCACCCACCACCACCACACCACCAACCACCACCAAAGGTGGGCCCGTTCGAGCAGAAGTTTGTAACTATGCTACAAAAAGGTCAAGCGATGCGGCAGGACTGCTGGCTACTAGCTACGTTTCATCATTACGTCATCTCCAGCCGCGGCAGCAGCCAGCAGCAGCAGCGACCGCGTTAGCCAAGCAAACGCGCCAGCGCCAGCAGCCCAAGCAGTCCGCTGTCCTACCTGCTTAACGCTCGCCTCCTATCCCTGCCA